TCTACTCCACTGCACACTGAAACATCGCCCAGACCCTCAGCTTCGTCCCCATTAAAATTTCTTCTTCTTCTTCTAGATGTTGACCGGCTGTAAGCTCCGGTATAAAAATTCTGGCTTTCTGTCTACTTCTTGACTTGAGCTCTGTTCTAGGAGTTCTGCATGCACATCTGTTTGACAGATCTGGCTTATTTGTATGCAAACTGGCTGGTTCCTGGCCTCAGGCAGATGCCTTTGACCTCAAAGAAAACACCCCTAATTAGATGAGTTTTACAACATGCTTGTCAGTGGTGAAGTGTCTACCCCTGCGCCCCCGCGACCACCCTAATGGGACTCCTAGAACTCACACAGGCATCCCAGAACCAGAGAGCTTTGAAAGTGAATTAAGTGAATACCATTAACATTCACAGAATATCTGGATTTATCTACCTTTGGAAAAGAATTTAGCTAAGCTGCAGTAACAATTATGAGCACGCTTAAATATGCCAGTGAAATGTGGACCTTAACAGCTAAACTCAAAAACAAGATACAAGCATCAGAAAGGAGATCTTTCATAAAAATTCTTGGCATATGATACAGAGAATACATTACACATGATGAGGTTAACTGGATAATTACCTAGCACACTGGCAACTATGAACCTCTTTTAACTACAGTGAAAAGACAGAAAATGCAATGGTATGGACATGTAATAAGATCTAACAGCCTCTCAAAAAACAATACTACAGGGCTCAGTAGAGGGAAAGAGGAGAACAGGCAGACCCAGAAAAGACCTGGATAAAGAACCTGACAGACTGCACAGGCCTGAGGCAGGCAACCATGGAGTCCATCGCAGCTGACCCTCAAAGGTGGAGGGAGCAGATTAGACAGTCAACAGCAACTGGTGACTCAACGACAATGATGGTGACTGAGAAGAATGTATCTTCCACTGGTCTATAACAGAATGAGCCTAGCATCCTGTGCCTATCAGCAGTTGGTCATCGAGGTTTCAACTTCAAGGCAAATGGGTCATCCCATGACTGCTACGCTCCTGCGCCAGACCAAACCACACCAAAAATGCTCTTCACTGTCCAGGTGTGACCTACAGTTCCATATGTGTGTGAGAACTGTTCTGTGTCACACACCTGTCATATCTGATGCTTATTCATTATTGTAGTGTATGTTGTAAATGCATTTTAAACTCTTATCTGGACAAGAGGAATTTCTGAAAAGAAAAGCTATTTTTGGCTCCATTATGTGTTCACCTTATCAGGTCTGCACTGTATTAGGACACCCTGTTCAACCATACAAAACTGTTATATATTAGGGGACACCTTGTTCGACCATACAAAACTGTTATATATTAGGGGACACCTTGTTCAACCATACAAAACTGTTATATATTAGGGAACACCCTGTTCAACCATACAAAACTGTTATATATTAGGGAACACCCTGTTCAACCATACAAAACTGTTATATATTAGGGGACACCTTGTTCGACCATACAAAACTGTTATATATTAGGGGACACCTTGTTCAACCATACAAAACTGTTATATATTAGGGGACATTATGTTCAACCATACAAAACTGTTATATATTAGGGGACACCCTGTTCAACCATACAAAACTGTTATATATTAGGTGACACCCTGTTCAACCATACAAAACTGTTATATATTAGGGGACACCTTGTTCGACCATACAAAACTGTTATATATTAGGGGACATTATGTTCAACCATACAAAACTGTTATATATTAGGGGACACCCTGTTCAACCATACAAAACTGTTATATATTAGGGGACACCTTGTTCAACCATACAAAACTGTTATATATTAGGGGACACCTTGTTCGACCATACAAAACTGTTATATATTAGGGGACATTATGTTCAACCATACAAAAATGTTATATATTAGGGGACACCCTGTTCAACCATACAAAACTGTTAAAAATTAGGGGACACCCTGTTCAACCATACACAACTGTTATATATTAGGGGACATTATGTTCAACCATACAAAACTGTTATATATTAGGGGACATTATGTTCAACCATACAAAACTGTTATATATTAGGGGACATTATGTTCAACCATACAAAACTGTTATATAATAGGGGACATTATGTTGAACCATACAAAACTGTTTTATATTAGGGGACATTATGTTCAACCATACAAAACTGTTATATATTAGGGGACACCCTGTTCGACTATACAAAACTGTTATATATTAGGGAACACCCTGTTCAACCATACAAAACTGTTATATATTAGGGGACACCCTGTTCAACCATACAAAACTGTTATATATTAGGGGACACCCTGTTCAACCATACAAAACTGTTATATATTAGGGGACACCTTGTTCGACTATACAAAACTGTTATATATTAGGGGACACCCTGTTCAACCATACACAACTGTTATATATTAGGGGACCCCCTGTTCAACCATACAAAACTGTTATATATTAGGGGACCCCCTGTTCAACCATACAAAACTGTTATATATTAGGGGACACCCTGTTCAACCATACAAAACTGTTATATATTAGGTGACACCCTGTTCAACCATACAAAACTGTTATATATTAGGGGACACCCTGTTCAACCATACAAAACTGTTTAAAAGGGGACCCCCCTGTTCAACCATACAAAAACTGTTAGACACCCTGTTCAACCATACAAAACTGTTATATATTAGGGGACACCCTGTTCAACCATACACAACTGTTATATATTTGGGGACCCCCTGTTCAACCATACAAAACTGTTATATATTAGGGGACACCCTGTTCAACCATACACAACTGTTATATATTTGGGGACCCCCTGTTCAACCATACAAAACTGTTATATATTAGGGGACACCCTGTTCAACCATACAAAACTGTTATATATTAGGGGACACCCTGTTCAACCATTCAAAACTGTTAAATATAAGGGGACACCCTGTTCAACCATGAAAAAAGTGTTATATATTAGGGGACCCCCTGTTCAACCATGAAAAAAACTGTTATATATTAGGGGACATCCTGTTCAACCATGAAAAAAACTGTTATATATTAGGGGACATCCTGTTCAACCATGAAAAAAACTGTTATATATTAGGGGACACCCTGTTCAACCATGAAAAAAGTGTTATATATTAGGGGACCCCCTGTTCAACCATGAAAAAAACTGTTATATATTAGGGGACACCTTGTTCAACCATGAAAACTGCCTCTGAGCCCGCTTCTTTCCCGCTGTCCTTGTGGAGTCCACTTCATGCCTGTCTCGGCCATCTCTCTTTCTTCATTCCGAGGATGTTTACAAACCACCTACATTTTAGTTTTTTAATTTCTAAATTTACATTTTCTAAGTCTGCCATTTATTGTAATCTAGAATTGCTGATTTTATGGTCCCATGTGAACCACAATTATCTTCTGAGAAGTCTTGCCTCAAAACCTCTGAGCATACTCTCCATCTTTCTGTCCGTTTTCCAAGTTTCTGCTTCACAGAAGTGAAATGTCCTAACGCATGTTTTGTATATCTTGAGTTTAGTTTTAGTGCTGTAGATGTTTGATCTCCAGACACTCTGAAGTCTGCTGTAAGCAGCATTGGCCTTTGCAATTCCTTATTTCTTCACTCCTCTTGAATTTATCCCATTTTATGTTCAAAATGTTCCTGACACATTTGTTTTCAAATGCATTTACCTTTTGTTCCATGTCTTTCATCATTCACCAACTTTCATTGGTGTATGTTAAACCTGCAATAACAATAGAATTTAAATGTTACAGCATGCGTAAAAAACATGTCAATGCCCCATGTTTGACACACAAGTGAGTACAATATTGCACTGGCTCAGATTCTGTCTAAAAGGTCAAGTTGGGAGAAGTGAACCAGCGTCATTGCACACGGATATAAACCATAAGTGCTCTGCCACCAGTACAGACAGCTGATAAGAAACTGTCCGCCTGTGTCGCCGTCACGACGCAACTCAGTAGCTACAGCGACGTTCCTCCATTTACCCCAGAGTGTTAACTCCGGTACCCATTTCATAAAGGCTGGGTGAGCCCCAGGAACCATCCAGTTTTGATCCCTGGCCGTAGGCTGCAGCGGGTCGCAGCTGGATTTGAAAGCACGTCTCCTATCGACTGCGATAACATTGCCCCCAATTTTATGAACCTCCGATAACGGTTCTCAACCTGAGTGATTCTGTGGGTCTACTTTGAGGAGAAGAAATCAAACAAATAAGGGAGACCATAAATACACAGAGAAGAGAGTCAGTGACTGCGATGAACAATACAGGAAAGACATGGAAAGGTATCAGGTGATCAAACAAATCATGATAAAGAACAAGGCAACTAGGCACAACTGGCTGAGGGCTTATTTTTGCTGAGAAAGACTACAGAGTGTCTGGAGATCAAACATGTACAGCACTAAAACTAAACTCAGGAGGAAGATGTAGGAGGAGAGAAGAAGAAGAAGAGGAAAAGTGGGGAGGGGGGGGGGGGTGAGAGAAGAAAGGGGAAGGAGGAGGAAAGGGGAGGGGGGGGCAAGAGAAGAAGGGAAAAGGAAGGGGGGAAGTTGGGGAGGGGGGGGCAAGAGAAGAAGGGAAAAGGAAGGAGGAGGAAGGTGGGGAGGGGGGAGGAGCAAAAGAAGAAGTAAAGAAGGGAAAAAAATAAGACAAGCAGTAGGATCTGAGGAGGAATAACATGAGGAGGATGATTAGGAGGGTGGGGGGGGGGGGTGGGAAAGGAGGAAAATAAAAAGAGAAAAACAAGGAGAATAAGAAGAAGGAGGGGGTGGGGGGGGGGAGAGAAGACAAGCAGAAGGATTAGGGAAAAGGAGGATGATTATGAGAAGAAGGAGCAAGAAAAAGAAGGAGGAGCAGAAGAAGAAAGGGCCCATGATACAACAAAGGTTAAGAGCTCCTGGATTAAAAAAAAAAAACAAAAAACACATTAAGAAAGCAGCACTTTCTTCACTTTTCACATCAATCCCTGTGAACATTCACAAAAATCCTTCACTCACCACATAGATGATTTTTCAGATGGCAATTCTAGATCACTGAACAACATATAATTATGCAACAAACTCGGAAGTCCAAGGGCGGAAATTTTCTGATTGACTGAAGTGCCGCTGCCTAAACGTTTGCGTATACTTCGCCTGCACTGGCGAAGCAGGCTTTGTGGCTGCATGATCAAATCCGACACCAAATCGGCAATACTCAAATCTTCCAGATTTAACACCGAATACAAGGAATTCATTTTTCTCAAGAGCGACGCGGCATCTTCTGCATATGCTGCCACTAGCCAGCGAATGAGTGTGGGGTTTTCCTTATGCACACAATGAGTAATGGAGAGCATGGGCTGCAAGGGGCTAGCATAGATTCTGTCTGCTTTGCATAGTCGCTATTGCACAGTAGGAGTAGCTTAATGACAGTGAAGTTGCAGTTGTCAATGGCATGCCAAAGAGGCAATGTATGGAAACGATCCAGTGTGTTTGGGCTAGCACCATGCGCCAACATCTTCTCTATAACTGACGTGTCAATGTCCCGATACACCGCTTCATTCAGGGCTGTAACATCATCAGAAGGTAGTTTCTCCAAAGAGCAGCCTTGATTTAAGAAGAAGTCAACCACCGGCATCCTGAAGAAACGGATGGCACTAATCAGTGGCGTAACACCGTCGCAGCAGCGGATGTTGATGCTAACTCCATGGTTGATAAGAAGGTTGCAACATTCTATGCTTCCTCCCTCCGCTGCCAGGTGCAGGATGGAAACATGTCTGGACCAGTGATGAAGATTTGCCCCAGAGTCAATCAAGAATTTCAGTGTCTGAAAAAGTATTCATAGGGGGAAAAAACATGTAATTCAAACTGTAAGCACAGCAAACAATAAGACAGAACCAAAAAATGTGCAGGTTAGAACTGAAACAGGTGCAGCTAAATTAAGGATGGGAAACCTTTTCTGGTCCACGGACCAAATATAAAATAACTAACCTGACTGCAGGCCATATAGGAATCAATTCATTATACACAACACCCAAATTTCCTCCTAATACACTTTTTCTATGGGATAATCTAAGATTATACTCCCTCACTATGCAGTGTGTACGGGTGTATCCATGACTACCACTATGATCCCCGCCTCAGACAAACAATGCCAAGAAAGGTTACCACACTCTTCTGATCTATACTCTTGCCGACCAGAGAAAAAGAATGGTTCGCACTTATATTTTATTATCAAAGTCCATTGACAGACACTGTCTCTTGATATCTGAGTTTTTACCTCTTTTTTGTTTGTTTCTTCTTTTAGATGATATTTGCATTTTTTTTTTCTGCATATGAATGAGTGTTTTTGTGTTCTGCTACTTTATAAGCTCAATGTCCAGATTATACAGTAATTATACGAGCATAGTTTGCTCACCCTTGAGCTAAATGTTCGCATGCCGGCCAGAAGGTCTTTGTTTGAATCCACACAGAGTCTGATTTTTTTTTAAACGAAGGTTAAAAAAAAAAGGGGGGGGGGGAAGACCCCTGAAAATTACTGAAGGCTCCCTCTCCCCCTTAATTTTTTTAATGTGTGGGGAGGGGGAGGGGGTCCCTATATCGATATCCCTTCCCTTAGTTGTGATATTTCAATCTGTTTTTATTTTTACAATCTGAGTTAAGAACTGACATCATAGCATTTAGTACATTCCCATAAGCACTTTGTTCCCATCTTCAGCAGCTAGCACAGAGTTCCAATGCTGATGATATCAGAAGCAGTCTGGTGATATATCTGTCTCGCCTTTCCCCTGAGTGGTGAGTGCGGCCAGATCCCCTAGTCACTCCCTGTTGCGCCATTCTCTTCAGACAGTGGCGATCTATTTGTACCTCTACACCACTCATTCCCAAAGAGCCTTCAACAAATATAGCTTGTTGTGCATCATCAGCAGATGCAGCCAGTCTGTTCGTTTACAAGCACACACATGCATGCCCTTGAGAAAACATCTACAGGATGTCTGTTAACTCAATGGGACCTCCCAAGCGATTCTTGCCACACAGTAGTGCCTCTGTATATGACCTCAATTCATAACAGATCTGTACACTCATACCAAAAAGGAGATATAGCAAATGAATATTCCTGTAAGAAGAAAGGGAGAATTAATACATTTCCATGAAAACAATTTGATAGCTATTGGTAAATTATGCCTTTGTGGGGCTGTATAAAATAGTTTCAATACTGCTCAAAAAAAAAATTCATATACATCTAAAGAAATTAGATAAAATAGATGAAAATGTAGCCTCATTTTACCTCACTGAGAAGAGAAGTGCCTACTAGGATGCTACTTCCATTAAAATTTTAGGAATCAGGAATTTGAAATTCTTGTATTTTTTCCTCTGTATTTTTTTGCTTCTTTCCTCTGCTTGGACCTTCCTAAGACTCACTAGCTTTGACTTTTGCTTTAAAAAACAAAAGTTCTAGCTCACAAGTTGTATTCTAAACCAAGGTTGTATACCAAGCAAAACTGAGCGTGTCTAAACAGGACATATACCAAGTTGTACTTATTAGAACGTGGACGTGCACCGTGGTACCACCGTACTTTGTGAGTCAGTTACAATTGCAGGTGTGTGCAGTTGGGTCTCAAGCCAGCAGAAGGCTGTAGTGACTGCCTTAACAATCTACAAATTATGATCAGTACTTGTGTGGAAATTGACATTAAGCATCATCACCATCATCATCAGGTGCCTTGCCAACTGGCGTGGGCAATCATGCCTCTCCATAATCTGCAATCTCCTGCAGCATGTATCAGTTCGTGTGCAGACACACCTCCATGTCATGCAACAAGACTGTCAAGCATCTTCTCTCGTTGTCTTCCTTTATCCCTCCTCCCACATATCTTTCCAGTGGTCACAACAGGTTCTATTTTCCTTCTTCTCATAACATGGCAGAAAAATGATGACTGTCTCCTTCTGATGTCTGTGATAAGCTGTCTTCGGGCTCCTGCCTCTTTCAAAACCTCTTGGTTGCTCTTTTTTGCTGTCCAAGGTATTGTTAGCATTCTTCTGTAAAACCACATCTATGAGGCCTCTAGAAATTGTTTGGCCTGCCTACCGATTGTCCAGGATTCACATCCACAATAAGCATAACAATGGCCAGACAATGTGGCTGCTTTCGGGAATACGTCAGTTAAGTGATTTTGCGTATTCCTGTGGCTTCGTTTGATTTATTTCATGTGCTGATGAAGGCTCTGCAACCACAACATTCACTTTCTATTTCATCTGTTATATTGTGAAGCTCGCTGGTCTACTTTTCGTTGGGTTTATATTACATCTTTTCATGATACAGACCAACGGGCACTCTGTGGGAGATGTGGTCATTTAGACGACCACCTTTACTTCCCAGGAAATTGCCTTGTACTCACTGGCAGCAAAGAATAATAAGCCTTACTGACTGTTACTGGGAAAGGAAGAAGGACTAAGCTAGAGAGCTGACGCCAATACCTAAAACTTTAGCCACGAAAGTGGCACAAATAAACCAGACCACAATTATAACCGGAGACTGTTTGTTATTATCATCATCATCATGTGCTGTGCTGGTAAGTATAGGCTGTCCTGTTCTGCCATCTCATACGATCACCAGAATCACAAATCAGTTCAATACTTTTGTCTCATCCCATCCAACTGGCCAGGCCCTCCATGTTTTTATCTTTCTGCCTTCCTCTTGCTCTCTTTCTACCAATTTTGCCAGTCGTTACTAAGTTTTCAAGTCCATTCCTAAACATTCCAAAAGACATTGATTGTCTACATCTAATTAAAAATTATGCTACCCTGTGTGTGTTCCGGGGTTCCATTGTGGGGAAAACCAGAACAGACACACTGCCTTCCCAACAAGCATGTCATAAGAGTCGTGTAATTAGAGGCTTCCTTCAAAGTCAGAGTGCGTCTGCCTGAGAGGCATGGAACCCACAGTCCAAACAAGATCAGTAAAACAGATGCCAAAGTCCAGAAATGGACGAACAGCCAGATTTTTCTGCTACTGAACGCAACTAACAACAATTATTATGCTGGATATTTTTTTCTTTTGTCTCAAAACATTATTTTACAGATGATTTTGCCATTCTATAAGTTGCAGACAAATACGTTTTCAAATATGCCATGACAATGACAGAAATATCAGAATCATGTGTCATATATGATATAGTCTTACCAGTATTTTAAATACTGCGATCAAGACACAGGATGGGTTCCCAACTCAGGGGTCTCGACCCCAACTGGGCTTGCATATGGTTGTCCAGGGGGTGCTGAGCAGTTCCTTTTCCTGTCTTGGTCACAGTATTTAAAATACTGATGAGATTTACTGAAATATTATTTTATTAAAACAGTGGTGAGCTATGGAAACTTTTAAAAAGAATATTTTTTTTTTTTTTTTTTAAATTATTAAAATATTAATGCTACTAAAAATCTCTTTTTGGTATGTTTTTATTTATCCTATTAAAAGGCCTATTTTAAATGTGTCTATAAAATGGGGTCATGACTTGAAAAAGGTTGGAAACTGCTGTGATGGAACATTTGATTTTCGCAGATGTTGTAGGGTAAAGAATACAAACAATTTCCAATAAAAAATCCACAGAGAGAAGACTCACCTCCAAATTCCCCTTCCACCCGGCCAACATAACTGGGGTACATTTATCCGAATCAAAAGTTTCAATGTTGGCACCTGCTTCTATAAGAATCTGGCAACAGCTGCTGTAGCCCTGTTCGGCAGCGTAATGCAGAGCGGTGCGGCGGTTGTACGCCACCATGTTAACATTGCATTTTGCATCAAGTATGAGCTGGATGACCTCCTTGTGGCCTTCCAAAGAAGCCATCATGAGGGGAGTGAAGCGACGTATGTCCTGAGCATCAATTTCTGCTCCGTGGTGCAACAAAGCCTGCGGAAGAACAGCAACAAGATGAAAGATCAACTAACCCTAAATATGTTTTGGGCTCCATTTTGAAACACAGAACAGATGCACTTCTTGGTTGCAAACATTAATTAAATGTGCCAACAAATAATTACATTCAGTAGTTTGCCACTGCCTTCTGAATGGCTGGCTCTCAATACCGCTGTCAAAACCAATGCAAGGTGGTCTGCTACCAAATTGTCAGCAGCTGGGATCAAACTAAGCACCCATGAATTACAAAGCGCCACAGCCACAGATGCTTACTTCTAACAAACAGGTCCTAAAAGGCAGCTATATAAAACTGCTGAAATTGGACATGTTAGGCTGAAAGAGGTGCAGATATCCTAGCCTAGCTGTAAACCACAACACATGTCAACTACCATTTTAAAGGAGAAGAAGAAAACGGACTTACCTTACAGCAGGCAGCCCAGCCTTTCTTAGCTGCATAATGCAAGGCAGTGATCCCACTATGACTGACACGATTGACATCAGCTCCCAGAGCCAGGTACAGCAGCACCAAGTTGACATGACCCTTTTCTGCAGCACAGATCAGCGGTGTGTTCCCAAACGTGTCTTCATCCTCTAACCCCGCTGCAACAGAGATCAGAAAGAATTACATTTTCCAGATCGTCATGTGGGTCCTGAGGCCCTATTTGAGGGGTTAGGAAGCAGAGACAGACACACAGCCTCCTAACAAATATGCCATAAAAGACGAGGAGTTTGATGAAATCAGATGTGCTGAGCCAAGAGATGCAGATATATCACAGCCTAGCTGTAAACCCCAAAACCTTTCAAACATTTCAAGGGAGGAAGCAGGGAGTCGTGCCCCTGCAGCCTGGCACCCGAAAATGCTGAGCATGTGATCCAATACTGTCAACTGTATGTTGACAACAGAAACCCAATCTTGCCTGTTCCAACCACAATAAAGACAAAGTTGGGCTATCTTCCGAATAACGGTCCCAAATTATTGAGGCAGAAAATATACCCTAACAGGGCCTCAGTCACATGCCAATTGTGCACTTCCGGGGACTATAACGCCACCGCCGAATTGGGAACTTCAGGGGGTCTATACCGCCATCGCCGAGAGTATCCCCCACGCCGCTCACGTGGCGTGGATTGGGTCTAAACTAGATGGCTAGGACTCACGAGCAAATAAAATCAAGGCAGCTGCAGGAAATGCGGTAGCTGCTGCTCGTGAGTCCCAGCCATCTAGTTTAGCCCCAATCCACGCTGCATGAGCGGCGTGGGGGATACTCTCAGCGGTAGTGGAAGTGCGCAATTTAAGTCGCCGGAAGTGCGCAATTGACACATGACTGAGGCCCTGTTAGGGTATATTTTCTGCCTCGATAATTTGGGACCGTTATTCGGAAGATAGCCCAAAGTTGTATGGTACACAAGGAGATATGGACTGCAAGATAGCTTTCATAAAGCTGTCATATCAGTGTTAATTCATTCATTCTTCTTCTTGTTCCCTAATCCTGTTCTGCCTTTCAGTATCAGTTTTGAAGAGGCATCAGGTGAGTGCCAGGGTATATGCTACATAGATGTAGGTACTTACGGCTTTGGATATTCCATCTATCTAGCATCCAGATATGTCTTCTGACAGGAGGACTGAAGAAGAAAACCCCCAACACAAAGTGTCAATCATCCTTTTAAGGAGGAACACAAAATAAGATAAACTTGCAACAGGCAGGTTAATTAAATAACCTCCTTTTTTTTCCCCACAGCTTTTGAAGAATGCAATATATTAAACACTAATGACTTTTTAAACAACTTTTAGGATGGTGTAGACAGGGGGTGTCGTGATTCTGAGGATTAAAGGTCATATGGCCAGTGCTGTCGGAACGGACTGTGCAAGTTAGGATGTTTAATTTTACACCCAGCAGAAAAACTCCATCACCTTGCCGGAGAGGAGGGGCATAAGAGCTGGTTTGATCACTGGTGACATTTTGGGGGCGGGTCCAGGGTCAAGTCACCAATGGAGCAGTGATAGCCATGAAGACCAAACGCACGTAACAAACACAGTGCCGGCCGCTCACAACAAGGGAAACAGAACTTGCTGGCCGCTCACAATGTGGAATAAAGAATGCTTATAACACTGAAAGTAACAAAACATGACAACCCTAGAACATAAACATAGGATGGGCGGTGGGAAATCTTACCCCCAACGAGATGGGGTGATTTTCGTGATATGAACCCAACCAACCAAATAACTATAAACAGATATTTCCGATAGACCTCCTACCTTTAGCAGTAATTAAATACGAACAGATCTCATAATGGCCATTCTCTGTTGCCTCATGCAGTGCCGAACTCTCATGGTACCCTCTCCTATTGACAGAAGCATGATGGTTGAGAAGCAGTTTGACAATGGGCAAGTGGCCAGAAACTGACGCAACAATCAGAGGAGTATCCTCTTTATCATTGCGTGCATTCACATTTGCCCCAGCTGCAATCAGAACCTCACAGATAGCCTCGTTTCCTGAAAGCATAAAAGAAAGACTTGTGGACCTTAATTATCTTTCTATCCAACCATAAGCCCTAACTTTGCATTAACCACTGCACAGTTTTGGGACTACTGATAAAGACAGTTGAGTTGAGTTGAGCCAAAAATTGACATCACAGCTCTCGGGGCATTCCCATGTGCGCTCCATCCTCATCTTCAGCAGCCAGCGCAGAGTTCCAATACTGATGGTACTGGTCACAATCTGGTTATATATCTGTCTTGCCTTTCCTCTGTGTGTAGTGAGCCAGCCAGACCCTCTGGTTACACCCAGGTGCCTCATTCTCTCCAGGCCATAATTATCTTGTTTCTTCACTGATTCCGTTGCTTGTTCTCAAAGGGCCTTGACCACATCTGCCTTGCACTTATAAAGACATTGTAGTGCATAATTAGGAAGCCTGTTCAATTCTTTTGCAAGTAAAACTCAAAGAACAGTGAAATGTACTGGGTGTATAGTGTTGAAGTGTGTAATCTCCGTGCAGTGTCAACTCAGAGTGTTGTGAATAATCACTGAATTAATAATTATCTTGGTAGGCCATTAATGCAAATTTGAGGTAGGTTTTTATGGTCACGTAATCTTTAACATACAAATCAGTTTCTGAATCCAGCACAGCACACAATTATTTAAAAAAACGGGTACACATAATAGACTTTCATAAGTTTGTTATATCTCCACCCCCCCCCCCCCCCCACTCACTTCTCAGTACATTAACCAAAATGTGTGTGTGCACACATGTGTGTCTATTTGTGTGTGTTTACACAAAAACACGTTTCTTATATTCAGATTCACAAGTTTGTAAAAGTAGATATTTAATTATTTTAATATCTTTTCATGTCAAATTAGCAGGTTAACATATCTTTAATTAACAAATTAACAAATTAAATAATGGCATTTTACTGTGACAAGATTAAAACTACAAATGCAGTTTTCTGCAAACAAAAGTGTAATAAAAACAGCCAGTTGTGTCAATAAGCCAAATAAATGTCCTACACTGGAACCAGCATCGTCTTGCTGAGGTAATTCTTTGTGTCCATGAAAAGCTAGGTTTTGAAACATGGACAGGGTCCTGTCACAGAAATTATGACTTGGGCATATTTCCATGTGCACCTGTGGAAAGGTGCCCCAGACAGCAGAGCATGTACTCCAGGACTGCACTGATTTTGACACATTAAGGCAAAACCTTTTGGCCAGAAAGAACAACAGTGGAACGTAAACTCTATAGACCACTGAATGAACTAACAACAACAGTGAAATTTATACAAGAGACAAAATTGCTGATATAGACAGCTTATTTCACGCGAACGAAAGAAGAAGATGACTTTGGCCAGACTATGGAATGTATTTTTTATTTTTAATTTTAATGTAAGCCTGATAAGGGGTGAGTGTTTATATTTGTGTGGTCTAGTGCCCTTATAGCCTTCTTTGCTAAAATGAAACTCACTATGGACCAGATGAGACGCAGCACAATAAAAAGTGTATACCACACCCCCTCCTCCTCCTCCCCAATCCTCTTTTCAAGAGGCACCCAGGGCATATGCCCTATCTGCCATACCATATTTACGCCACTGTCGAAAGGCACAGATATCGCAGCCTAAATGTTAACCACAACATAACATGCCAACTGTATTTTTTATGGGCAAATGTAGAAAAATGAGTGGATGGGTTAAAATCTGCAATTCATTCACAAACACTTGTTGTCACCAACTGGAAAGAGAAGGTCAACCTGTGAGTTGAAGGGAGACAGATGATACCTGCAGCAATGCGTCTCAAGAGCTCACAATGCTGAAGATGAAAAGAAGAAGAATTTCTTTACAAGACAGTTCCCAATACCTGCTTCTGCAGCAATGTGCAGAGCTGAGTTCCCTTCCGTTCCAAGCAGGGTATTCACCTCGCAACCCCAGGTGACCAACAGCTTGGTCACTTCTAAAGACTGCGCCTTGACCGCATGCATCAATGGGGTCATCCGGCTGTTGTTGACACAGTCTGAAAGGAAGAGAAGGCACAGGTTAGTTCTGAGCATAGTCTGAATCATAAACTAAGTTCATGATCAAAGCTCAAAGTGTAATGATCAGACCAAAGATCGGTCTATAACAGCCTGTGGATTGTCAGATCACCACCAACTGCTAAGATATCAATCAGATCACCACCAACTGCTAAGATATCACTCAGATCCCCACCAACTGCTAAGATATCAATCAGATCACCACCAACTGCTAAGATATCAATCAGATCCCCACCAACTGCTAAGATATCACTCAGATCCCCACCAACTGCTAAGATATCAATCAGATCACCACCAACTGCTAAGATATCAATCAGATCACCACCTACTGCCAAGATTTCAATCAGATCACCACCAAGTGCTAAGATATCAATCAGATCCCCCACCAGCTGCTAAGATATCAATCAGATCACCACCAACTGCTAAGATATCAATCAGATCACCACCAACTGCTAAGATATCCATCAGATCACCACCAACTGCTAAGATATCCGTCAGATCACCACCAACTGCTAAGATATCAATCAGATCACCACCAACTGCTAAGATATCAATCAGATCACCACTAACTGCTAAGATATCAATCAGATCACCTCCAACTGCTAAGATATCAATCAGATCACCACCAACTGCTAAGATATCAATCAGATCACCACCAACTGCTAAGATATCAATCAGATCACCTCAAACTGCTAAGATATCAATCAGATCACCTCCAACTGCTAAGATATCAATCAGATCACCACCAACTGCTAAGATATCAATCAGATCACCTCCAACTGCTAAGATATCAATCAGATCAGCACCAACTGCTAACATATCAATCAGATCACCTCCAACTGCTAAGATATCAATCAGATCACCACAAACTGCTAAGATATCAATCAGATCCCCACCAACTGCTAAGATATCAATCAGATCACCACCAACTGCTAAGATATCAATCAGATCACCACCAACTGCTAAGATATCAATCAGATCACCACCAACTGCTAAGATATCAATCAGATCACCACCAACTGCTAAGATATCAATCAGATCACCACCAACTGCTAAGATATCAATCACATCACCACCAACTGCTAAGATATCAATCAGATCACCACCAACTGCTAAGATATCAATCAGATCACCTCCAACTGCTAAGATATCAATCAGATCACCAGCAACTGCTAAAATATCAATCGGATCACCACCAACTGCTAAGATATCAATCAGATCACCACCAACTGCTAAGATATCAATCAGATCACCACCAACTGCTAAGATATCAATCAGATCACCACCAACTGCTAAGATATCAATCAGATCACCACCAACTGCTAAGATATCAATCAGATCACCACCAACTGCTAAGATATCAATCAGATCACCACCAACTGCTAAGATATCAATCAGATCACCTCCAACTGCTAAGATATCAATCAGATCACCACCAACTGCTAAGATATCAATCAGATCACCACCAACTGCTAAAATATCAATCGGATCACCACCAACTGCTAAGATATCAATCAGATCACCACCAACTGCTAAGATATTAATCAGATCACCACCAACTGCTAAGATATCAATCAGATCACCACCAACTGCTAAGATATCAATCAGATCACCACCAACTGCTAAGATATCAATCAGATCACCACCAACTGCTAAAATATCAATCAGATCACCACCAACTGCTAAGATATCAATAAGATCACCACCAACTGCCAAGATATCAATCAAAGCAAAGAGCAGACCCAGTCAGCTTCATACCAGCGCTAACACAAATGACATCTGAACGATGTGGTGAGACAGCCTTCATCAGTTATTACACAAATCTACAATAGCATAAGTACATTTGCTGACTGCTGATTGGTCTATAAAAATATGGGGATGTCAGATGAATAACAACTGCTGATTGGTGTATACAAATATGTGGATGATTAGATAAATATCATCTGGAGAATGCTGATTGATCTATCAAAAAAATGGGGATGTAAGATCATTATCATATGCTGAATGCTGATTGGTCTATAAAAATATGGTGATGGCAGATGAATATCATCTGCCAAATTCTGATTGGTCTTTAGAAATATGCAGATGCCAGATCAATATAATCTGCTGAATGGCCTAGAAAAACATGGGGGTGTCAGATCAATACCTGCAGAAAGCTGATTGGTCGGAGAGCTGATTGATCTATAAACATATTGGGATGTCAGATCAACATCTGCTAGATTTCTAACAACAAGGTAATGAGATTTTGTCAGTGAAAATTTGATCAGTATCATCAGGTGACATTCCATTATTTGTGGCCCGTCAATCTTCACCATCTCACATGATCACCAGTCTTGGATTAGGTCTGTTTTCTTGCACCACTTTTGCTTTAGGGACAAGTTAGCCAAATATTAATCTCTTCCTCTTCTCCTTCCTCTTTTCCCATCAATTCTGCCACCTGTCAATAAAATTTAAAGCATTTTCAATCTCACAAAATGTTTTAAAAATTACTGATTGTCCACATTTAACTTCTTTTATCAGTATAGTATACATCCTATTTTTTTTAAGAAGTGGTTAATTTTTTCCCCTGGTAAAGGTACAAAGTATTCTTGTAAGCTATATATAGAGCCAGTTTTAACATACGGCTGTGAATCTTGGACAATTAATAAACAAGCCGAACCATATCTTGAGGCCTCGGAGATGTGGTTTTTATAAAAGAATACTTATAATTCCCTGGACAGATAAAAAGAGTACCCCCCAGATGTTTTAAAAGAGGCAAGTGCTCAAAGACAACTCACTTATCACACACATCAAAAAGAGACAGTCATCATTTTTTGGTCATGTTATGAGAAAAGGGAAACTGGAACATGTTGTGACCAACAGAAAGATCTTTGGAAAGTGAGACAAAGGAAGACAGCGAGAGAAGATTCTTGGCAACCTTTTGTCCTGGCATGGAGGCGTGTCAACAGACGAACTGATACACAGTTGCAGATCACAGATTGCGGAGAGGCATAATCAATGCTCATTTGAACCCTAGATCTTCAGGCCAGGAAGCCAGCAACAAACTGCTATGCCACTGTGACCCCCTGAGCAAGCGATAATGATTGGACATATTAATCTTTCCCATGCTTGGATGAAACCAAGAGGATGGTAGAAATAAGATAACTTCCAGGGCAGCCATTCATAACTACAGATAAAGCAAAGAAGATGCTTCTATACTGGATACATCCTGAAAGAAATGAGAAGAGAATCACCAGACAGGAACTAAAATAGAAAATCAAGTGATTGAGGAAACGAGGATGTCCACACAAAAAAAAAACTTAAAACAGACACTGATAAGAGAGGCCAAAGCTGCTGCACTGGACTCCATCCATGATATCCAAAGGATTGCACAGGATAGACCAGAATAGAAGAAGACACTGTGAGCCCTATATGCACAATAGGACCATGATGATGAGAAGGAGGACTCAATCCAGACCACTGTCTTGGCAGGAATGCAGACTAGCCAATACGCCAGCACAAATGTTAAAACACTCACATACACACACACAAATACATAAGTGCACATACCTTTCTCGACACCCTTGTTGAGTAAAATGGCTGCACAGTTTTCAGCACCGAAGTCACAAGCTTTAAATAGCATGGCCTCCAGTTCGACACCACTTAGCTGCTGAAACAGGGACCTCAGTGAGCTGTAGTCATCAGTCCTAATGGCATCCTCCATGCTGAGATAGAGTGAAGGTATACATCATCAACTCCCCGTGTGGGTTCCTGGGCCCCAATGTGGGGAAAACGAGAATAGACCCACTGCCTCCCCAAAAGCATGTCGTAAGAGTCGACTAATTGGGGAGCTTCCTTTGAAGTCGGAGTGCATCTGCCGGAGAGGCAAGGAACCAACAGTCTGTATTCAAGAGAATGAGATCTGTAAAACTGATGCACATGCAACACTCAGGTTCTGGAGCAGGACTGCAGTTCAGTAGTGGACGAGCAACCAGAACCGTCTGCCAGAGTTTACAGCTGGTAAAAGCGAAGAAGAAGAAGAAGACATCATAAACATTTCAAGGATGAGCACAATTATAGAGGACTTTCACTATCTAGATTCTGGGGCTGTGGGCAAGAGGGGTAGGGGGGAACAGATAGAATGCCTCCCCAATAAGGATGTCATTAGAGGTGTCTAAGTAGGGATGTTTCCTTTAAAGTGCATCTGCCTTAGAAAAGAGAAAGAAATGAATAAGCCAGATCTGTAAAACACATGTGCACGCAAAATGCAAGGTCTAGAACAACTGTTATGAACCTGTAAATAGCATCCCTTTTGTGGGTCGAACAACCCTTTCACAAGGGTCGCCTAAGACCATCAGAAAACACATGTATTGAAGTTATGAAGTAGCAACAAAAAAAATTGTATGTTTGGGGTCACCACAACATGAGGAATTGTATTAAAGGGTCTGTGAATTAGAAAAGTTGAGGGCCACTGGTCTAGAAAAGGACCAAAGACCAGAAGTTGATAAAATGCCAGAATTGTACACTAGAGTTTACAGTTTGTGAACAATCAGAAAAAGAAAAAGATAACCGGGCTTAAATGTTGTACACATCCCTTTTAGAGATCTGGCTTATTTGTGTGTGGACTCATCGGGTTCATCACCTTTCAGGCACTCCAACCTGGCAGGAAATGTTGATCTTTTCTAAGTTTGCCAGGCCATTGAGCAGGGAAATTATTTCAAGGATGACTGTCAAGAGCCCGATATAGGTCTTTACCAGTCTGAACTCTAATCCTGGGGCACTAGTACGTGTAGGTCAGCATCTCTGTATGCCCAATGATGCAGTCACTGCTTTGTTAAGGTATTGTCTTGAAATTTTGTATTATAGCGTTTACACAAGCTTACGGTTTAACACCTCATCCGGGATGTCAATTCAACATGAACAAACCCCAAATGCCTAATATAATTATACCAAATGATCACAATTATGATCTGGCACAACCATTATTTTAACCAGTGGGGTTGTTCTCTGGAATGCCATGACTCATTCACTGGAGTCTTACGTTACAAACTGCGTCCTCTTGAAAGGCTGAAAGAACTCTACACATAAATATATAATCTTACACGATCAATTTTATGTAAAATAACATATACCATAATAACATTAATCAAGGTTAGTGGCATAAGGCTGTTTAGATATTTTACTGTGTATAAGTAACATGGTAGGCCGTGAAATACTTGGTGTGTCGCTGTACAACTCAGAAGTTAAATTTCAGGAAACGCTCCCAAGTTCTCTTTAAAATGCAAATAAATTATTACCTGTAGCTGCTGTCTGCACATGGAAGAACACTTATATTTTAAAAAGAATGATGTATTCCTTTGCACAAGCGGGGTAAAAGTTGGGTAGGAGCTTGGAGACTGACATGAGAAGACAGAGAACTAGTTTGTTTGTCAACATCGACTGCACAGAGACCGACATTAGCATTTGTTCCGTCAGCCTAGGGCTGCCAATAGGACTTTTTTTAAAAACCCAGCTAAGATTACCAAAAACCCAAGCAATAAATAAGCAAAGAACACAAAAACAAAATTAAAAACCCAGATTGTTGAAAACTACACATTTTATAGTTACGAAACGCAACCTTACCCATTTTTATGTAAGCATATATTTTAAAAAACCCATATTTCAAAATTTGAACGCAAGGTGTCAAATAAAAACCCAGATCTGGGGGTAAAAACCCATCATTGGCAGCCCTGGTCTGTCGGAGATCTTTATCTCTGAGACTGAAGAGTGGAGGTCACAGGGCACGGCTTAGGTTTCCTTCTGCATGAGCTCCGGGTTTCCTTCATTGGTATTTTTTATTCTACTACTGTTTCACGGTACCAGGAAGAAGAGGCAGGGGCCGACCGACACGAAGATGGGCACAGCATATAAGTGACTCCTTGAGTATGAAAGTACATGAGGCGGGGGACCGAGTTTCTTTCAGACAGACTGTGATCAGAGCGACGTTCTGCTAAGGACCTGCTACATGATGATGAGGATGACTGTTTCATCTCAGACCGGGTCGGTCATTGGCTCACCGGTAGACGACTTCGTCGCTAACTGGGACAGTATTTGGGTCTGTCTCCTTTGATCGTGTCAACAATGCAGGGGTCCTTTTCAGGGCGGGAGTGGAGAAGGCAGAATGGAGATTACAGACCCGAGAGTGACAACATAAACAAACTCAACAGGAAAGAACAAACAACAATTTTTAGACTTCGAACTGGACACTTTGGTCTTCGAGCACACCTGTACAGCATAGGCATAAAAGAATCTGCTGCCTGTGATTGTGGAGCAGAAAGACAGACCCCTGGGCACATGCTACAGTACTGCCCTTACCTCTCCCAGCAAGGGCCCAAGAGAGCCACATTGAAAAAGAAGCTATGGGCGACCGGTGGCGACCTTAAACGCACAATCCTAATTGTGACCCAGACGGGACTCAATGTTTAGCATGACTGATGTCGAATGCAGAAGAAGAAGAAGAAGAAGAAGAAGAAGAAGAAGAAGAAGAAGAAGAAGAAGAAGAAGAAGAAGAAGAAGAAGAAGAAGAAGAAGAAGAAGAAGAAGAAGAAGAAGAAGAAGAAAAGAAGAAGAAGAAGAAGAAGAAGAAGAAGAAGAAGAAGAAGAAGGGCTCCTTGGTGGGGTGCAATGTTTTCAGCAATTTTATATTGTGCTCATTAACTAGTCGGGTGTGCCTGTAAAGTTAGCGACTGTCGCTCGCCTGAGGATCGGAAGGTAGCGAGTTCGGGTTCTGATGGAGGCGGACTTTTTTCATAAATGACCTTAGCCGCCAGGTCGTCCCAGCCTTGAGTGGGTTCCAGATACAATTCTGAGAATTTGAAGTTGTTTGCAAGCCGTCAATTTAAAATTAAAATAAAAACTGCAGAAAAAACTTGCATCACACAATACTTTTTTTTCCAGTTAATTCTCACCACAGACATAGCTAAAGAAAAAAAAACTAATGCTATAAATCAAATTTATTACGTTTACTAGAATAAAGATCAATCAAAAATGACGAAAAAAGGAAAAAGATAATGCAAAAAATCTTGTTGAAAACGATACATAAAAGCTGAAGAAATCGAATATGGCAACTTAATAAAAAACGAAACAGAAAATTATTCTGTCCTGTTTTATATGAAGACGTAGGTGACCAAACCTCACAGTGACAGGTCGCGAAGAACGAGTCGAGTCGCAAGTCGTTATTTACGCGACCTAAGTCTGATTGAAGTCCAAGTCGCGCGACTCGAGTCCTGACCTCTGAGGTTCACCTCTCTGGCACCAGATACTTAAAGAGCTGAGACGAAGAAGCATTCTCTTTTCAGTTTCTATACCATAATGGAGTGAGAGAAAACCGGCTCGTAAACAGCATCTAGTCACGAAAGCTGCGGTGTTTTGGCCATGTTAAATAAATGCCATAGTGGTCTTGAGAAAACTGGGATAGAGAGTAGTTTGGAAACTGAAACAGGCAGACACCCGAGTAGAGTCTATGAAAGCACACAGGGCTGGAGTATTGGCTAGGGAAAGAGAGAATTTCAGTCGAGACCGTGACGAGAGTGACATTATGTAAAGAACCTGCTGATTAGTGACAGTGATGATGATGATGGTGATGATGATGATGATGATGATGATGATGATGAAGATGATGACGATGATACTATGTCAAACTGGTGGAAAAGGGACATAATAAGTGCAGGAACATTATAGACATATATTACCAAATTATTTCCCTTTAAACATGAAAAACAAAAACCATCCCCTCAAAATACAGTCGTTAATTTCCTGTATGACAATGCCTTTCAAATCTTTATATTAATATTATGAACTGCTGCAAGGGCCTTGATCACATTTGCTTTGTCATGTATCAGTTCACCACCCAGTGGTGCGGATGCAGCCAATCTGTCTGCCTGTTCATTACTCACCACGCCGGCATAGCATGGAGAAAAGATCCAAAGTTAAGAATAACCACTAAAGCTTCTAGCCAAATTAAACTCCGCGTTTGCAGAAGAAAATACTGGACGTAAGTTTGCTTAGAAAAACCACACATTGGGGTTCGTTCTGCAACGTCCTGTAAAGGATACGCAACTAACTTTTTGCAGAGGAATACAGGTGTTTGTTTATTAAAGCTTGTTTATAGAAGACATAAAGACATAAAACATGCATTCGAAATCAAATGTCTAAGGAAAATGATGAACATAAAAAGGGGATGAATTCAAGACAGATTAAGCAATGAGATAACTGTATGGAGAATGTCTGTTATCATTATTATAAGATAAATCATCATCATTTAGCAGGCTCTTTGCAGAACGTCGCTTTCATCAGTGTCTGTCTGAAAAAAAAAAAAAAAAAAACCCGGGTCTCTCGCCAGCTCTCTTGTCTCCTGTACTTTCATACTGAAGGTGTCACTTATATCCTGTGCCCATCTTAGTGTTGGTCGGCCTCTGCCCCTCCTTCCTGGTACCATGCCTTCTGTTGTTATTTTCTCCAATCCGTCAAGGTGCTTGACATGACCAAAATATTTCAGCTTCCAAGACAAGATGCTGTTTATTAGCCAATTTTCCTTCATGTTCAGATCTGTTAAAATATGAGTATTTGTTTCTATAAGATAAACAGGATAGCAATATTGTGTGTACATCAAGAGAAGTCAGGGAGAGAGAACTACCAGACAGGCACTGAAACGGGAAAAAATCGGACTGGTGAAACGAGGAAGTC